AGAAATGAACTGGTCAGAGGCCCCGCTGCCTCCCCGCATCTTCCCCCCTCAATCAAGCCTACTTAAGGGCACCACCGAAAAGCTGCCCACTGAAACCGCCTCCAACGAGGCACCAGCGCTCCCAGCGCAATGCTCTGGCAGCCTTTTGCCTGAGCCAGCGCGCCCACTGAGCACAGCTTGGGCACCAGTGGCGGCGAGAGCGACACGATGCCCGGACGCCCGCAGACGAGGGAAACCTGCCCGGTGGAAGCTCTGCTGCGCAGACGGGAAGCACGTCCCATCGCCCTTCGGAAGGTGAGAACTAGAGAGCAGGTGAGCTGCCCTACGCAGGGCTGCGAGCAAACCGGAATCCAGGGGCTCATCGGTTCTTTGTGCCACTCTCCTTGGCGGGCGCGTCTCCCATGAGCCACCTTTAACCTCCCTGTGCCAATTCTCAGTGGCTTCTAGGGCTGGGAGTTCATGGCAGATGTCCCAGAGGCTCTGGAGGCCCTTGGCCATGTCCGCAGCACACGGGCCCAGCCAAGAGAGGGAGGATGCCCTTGTGGCTGAGACCTTCGTAGGCACCAACCCCTCACTCTAGAGGAGACTTTCTTTAGCCCAGTTCCTGTGCCTCACTTCCCCAGCTGTAAAACAGGGCAAAAGCTCCCTCTCCGCCCACTGCTGTCTGGGCACCCTGATGACTCTGAGCCCGGGCCTGTCTTTCATTGTGTGCTGTGCAGCACCAAGCACAGTGGTGCCCTGACGCTGGATACAAGCTCCTGTGCTACTGGAACCGCGCCCTCCACTTACCAGACTCCTGGATGTCAGATTTCAGAGGGGGCCGCATTAGCCTGTTTCAGCAACATGAGCAGGAGTCATGTGGCACCTTAAGGACTAACAAGGATCTTGTCACACCACACCCCAGGCTTGTCCAAAATCCATGCAGCTGGTATTTATCCTTGGCTTGCTCTTCCTTCACTAGAAAGGACCTATGCCAATCTCCGCTGCCTGCGGCCCACTGGGGTTCCACTTGCAACCCGTGTGCCCCCCTCCCTTCCCCCACACCTCGCATGCACTGGGGCCCTAGAGCCCCACACTTTCCATATTCCTCCTCCGCCCTCCCAGCGCGTTTGGGTCGGGACTCCCATGGCTACAGTGACGCCATGTTAGATGTAAACAGCTGGACATGTGAGACTGACGCGAACGTAAACCCTCTGGCCACGACACTGACCGAAATGGACAGTGAGTTTGGTAGGGCCCTGGTTACGAGCACTGCCCAAGCACCAGGGGAGCCAGGCAGCCATCTCACCAATGTAGCCCTCCGCAAGCCCAAACCGGGCTGTATTTAACGCCGGATGCTGAAGACAATTCCACGGGGAAAGAAGCTCCAAAGGTACTTGGCTATCCCAAAAGAAACTGCTCCCAACCAACACTCAGGAGACAAAGGAAGCAGGATGCATACTCTGCATGTGTGGGATAGTGATATGGAAAAACCCAATGCAAACAGCTGTGGGGGTCTGCTAGGCTGGAACCTACCAACTCTAGACATTAAAACTGGCAGGAAGGAGAATCCCAGTCTGTTTCCAGGGGGATTCGACGCCGGTTGCCAGCCTGATCTGTTCAAGAGTTTTTCAGCTTTTCAATCTGTCCCTGGGATGGTGCTGCACCCCCAGCTATGGACCAGCCGCGGGGGGGGGGCCCTCAGAGCATGCAAGACCAGCAGGGGTTTCACCTGACTTCAGGTGGGCCACAGGGCTTCACCACCACCTCTTCTGGGCCTTTAGGGTCATGAGGTCTGTGCCGGGAGTCCCCTGAGACAGAGTCTGGGACACTCTGCAGGGGCCAATGCATTTGCAGAGAGCAGCCTTGCCAAGGGTAGGGTTTATTAGCTCACTGCCTGGGAGGCAGGAAGGTTAATGCAGAGTCCACCCTGTGGAGCCCAGCCATGCTGTCGGCAACCCTCATTGTAGCTTTGTCTGTCTCCAGATGAAAGTCCTGATGCTTTCCGCAGTCACCTTGCACCTGACCTTTGGGGCTACTGCTCAGATTCCTGGCTGAGAGGGGAGAAAGTTGATATCCCTTTGGGTCGTTGCTTGCTAACGCGTCATTGTCCTGGCAACTGGGTTTGGCATTGGCTTCTCAGGTGCTCCACTGATGTGGTGATTAAGACGCGGGCAGCTTGGGGACATCCAGACCCATGTCTCCTAGCCTGTCCTGAAAGCAAACAGTCCCTTTCCCTCTCGTGGTAACAATGCATCATTAGGGGAAACTGAGGCACACACAGAAAATTCCCACTTCGTCACTTCAGTCCAGGGCTGGACTTTGTGGCAAGTGGCTTTTGCATTTAGCAACTGTTTGAAGTGGCTGAGAGGTTTAGAAAGATGCAAGTAGTCCCAGTGGGCAAAGAGCAGGTGAAACTGGTCAAGGGTGCAGGCAAATTATCACATGGCTCATAGTCATAGATTTTAAGACGGGAAGGGGTTAGTGCAGTCTTCTGGTCTGAGCTCCTGCATAACACCGGATTTTCCTGTATGTATTTCTGCTTCAGATCCCTTGATTATCCTTGAACAAGAGCTTATCTCTTAGAAAAACACTATCAGAGAACATCACATGGATGTTCTCTGCACAGACACAGTACATGGGAATATCGTTATATTTAATATGGAACTGTCCCTTTCTAGGTCTCAAAATGCTTGACAAAAGAGAGCAGTACCATTATTCCCATTTTACAGATGGGGAGACTGAGGTACAAAGCGTTCTTGCCCATGAGCACAGCAGCGCTAGGAACAGAACTCAGGTCTGCCTCTGTTAATAGTATTATTATTATTTACGATTTGTAATGCTGGTGGGCCGTTTGCAGGAGCCCTGTACCCACTTGGAAGCACAGCTGCGCATGCAAGCATAGCCACTGAAATCCTGGGGTTCCCTGCAGCAGCAGCCTATGGGAGGCACGAGCAGGCTCTGAGGAAAGCATCTACCCTTTATGCAGCGTTGCCTGGGCTAGGGTGACCAGGAAGTGTGAGCATTGGGATGAGGTGGAGAGAGGAGGGGGCAGTCGCTGTCTATACAAGAGCAGGTCCCTAGTAGTGGGACATATGCTGTGCCAGCTGAGTGGGGAGGGGGAGAGGCCCGTCTGGGAAATGACCACAAAGCCAGCTCATCAGAAATTCCAGGTGTCAGCACAAGAGGAGAAGAAAGTCCCTTTCTGTGCTGAGTGGAAGTCGGGAAAAAGGCAAGCGAGGCTGTAAAGTCCCTACAGCCCTATCTGCAAGCAGGCAGGGCCAAGGCGACGAGCCCTCGCCCCCACAGAGCAGCGAAACGCAAGTGGCATGAAAAACTGGAGCCTGAGTGTGCCTCGTTTCCAGAAAGTGAGGAGGGAGGGGGGAGGGGAGAAAACCCAGTAAAAATCCCCAGTTTCTTGTTTGCTCTAAGAGGAGCCCTCGTCATCGCCCCAGACCTGTGGTACAGGGGCTGTCCCTGCTGGAGGATGAATGTCCCATCCTGGGGGAAGGGGAATTCAGAAGCTGCTGCTGCTGTACTGATAAAAGCAGCAGCCCCGCTGCCTCTAGCCTGGCTCAACAGAGAGCAGCACTGAAGGCTCACGAAGAAGGGAGGAAAATAATGCCCCAGCCTGGAGCTTCAGACCCAAGCTGTGCCCAGGTCTTGCCCCGCGTCCCCGGCTGCCTGTGGATTTTACTGTGAGGAAGCAGCGCGAGGCCAGGGGAAGGAAACGAAGCTCTACAAAGCCTCCTCGGCTCTTCTCTTCTCTTCCTTTCTATTCACCTCGGTTTCATTTTTTCTGCTGCTAAAATGCTGAGTCGAGAGGCATGCGGTTAGCAAACGGCGGTTCATTTTTCAGAGCATCCAGGAGTGTGTCTGGAGGACCAGGGCCACCCTCCTCTGGCTGGGCACCATCTGGAAAGCATTTTGTAAACGAGCAGGCTTTGTATGCTTCGCCGAGAGAAACGGCCAGGTATGGGGACCACGGCTGACAGCGCGCGGACCGCTCCAGGGAGACACTGCCGACTGGGGCCTCGAGCCAGCGGATCACTTAGCACATGCTTTACTTTAAAGTCCATGGGACTCACCTGCTTAAAGCTAAACACACACGTAAGTGATTTGCTGGATCAGAGCTGCAAGGTGCCAGTTCAGAGGCTATTTTCTTAATAGGAACTTACGGCTCCCATGTGCTGAGCTGTAGCAAAACACTTAAGTACATACTTACCTTTAAGGAACTTTAGAAGCTGGTTTCAACAGGTGTGCTGATGTGCTTACAAAAAACTGAAAAAACCTCCAATAGGCTAGAAGCACCTTAAAGACTAAGAAACCATGTAGATGGGATCATGAGCTCCAGTGGGTACTGGTTAAGCACATGCGAAAGTGGAGGCTGAAGGGCTGGTGGCTCTGCTACAGGGGCAAGTAGTTTTTGAAATTCTAGTAAAAAAAGGAAATTATTTTTGTCTTTCAAAATGTTGCATTTTGCTGATTATTTTTGCATCTTTAATGAAACCACTGGCTTCTGAGTGAGAAGTTAGACCAAAAAAGGAGGAAGTCCTTAGGCAGAATGTCTAGTCTGTGCTAGGAAAATGATTCTTGTTTGAAAGTCTTTCTTGTTGTGCCTTGAGGGTGATTGGTGGAGTAATTTAGAAAAAGCAGCAGCTGCTGCTGCAACTTAAAGCTGGCTTTTTGCGGGGCCTGAGACCCAAGTTCTACTGTAACTATTTCCTAGTGGCTCCTTCATTGGCAAAAATCAGGTCTCCCATTCCCAGTCTGTGTGTGCGTGTTCCTACGCACTGTACTGTCTGTACCTGGTGTGCCTGTCTGCTCAGCGAATGTGTATCTCCTGCCTATTGCCCACAAGGCACAAAGCTCTGCAGTGATAAGGCACCATCCCTGATATTGCTGGAGAACTCGGTAGCTTTCTGTTAGTTAGCGCGAAGCTGCCCGTCTCTCTTTGGCCCCATGTCTGTTCAAAGCATCTCACCCCCTTGCGTCCCCAGAGAAGGAAGTTGCGTGCTCACCTTGTGCTCATCTCCCACAGCGATCGGTTCAGTGCAGCAGGAAGGATGGGGTAGCCACATTGCCCGGGAGGATGTGTAGCTGCGCACTCCTGCAAACAGGTGCAGTATGAGCCCCGTCCAGCTCCGAGTGGGCCCCTCTCCTCAAGCTAAATGCTGCCTCTGCTCTGCGGCTGCAGAAGACCCTAGCTCCATCGTGTGAGGTGGGGGCCAGACTGGAGAGGCTGCACGGGGAGACATTTCACCCATGCACTGCAGAGCCTCTCTCTAGTAGCACGGAGGATGGGGGCAGGAGCATGCCACAGTGCAGACCCCTAGGGATAAACTCCCCACGCAAGGCTCCTACTGCAGGAGATCAAAGCCACGCCAGGGGTGTGGAAAAGGAGCCTCCCACACTGTGCCGGGTGAGCTTTATGTGAGGGAGGGGAGACACAGGCAGGCGGTCTCGTTCATTTCACAGACCAGCTTTGCTCTCCGTGGAAGGTGGCTGGCCTGGAATGTAAAGGTGGGACTGGAACAATTTGGGGCATTCAGCCAACTTCTCCACTGAGAGTTTCACGGGACCCCAGCTCGTTAAAGGCACGTTGGAAAAGGCAGAGTCCTTGCTGTGACCTACCAAAGAAATAGTGGGGCTGATAGCCAGGGGAGACAGCAGCTGCTGGGGAGAGGCCTGATGGTATCATTGGAGCAGGAAGAGAAAGCGCAGCAGGGAGGAAGCTGCTGTCTGTCAGGCACATGGAGGTCTGGCTGGGCTGGTGAGGCAGAGAAGCAGAAGGTTAAGCTGAGGAGGCCAAGAACCGAAGCAGAACGGCCCAGGGCTCTTTGTGGCGCCTTCCCTACAAGGGAGAAGGGAAGAGCATGTTAAGCATGCTGCGTATCCCGGCAACAGCCCCACTTCCTTCTGGGTTTGCACCAGCTTGCCGCTGTGGGGGAGCGGGCAGGGTGTGGCAACACCTTCTCCTACGGGCAGCTGCAGAGAATCACTAGTGTGCCAAGGGTGTGGGCTGCTCAGCAAGAGGGCACGGCTAGGCTGCTGGTCTTGTGCCTCTCCATGGTTCTCTTCTGGGACCCTGGCCGGGCTTTTGGGGCTCTGCTGGAAAAGCCATGGAAGGGCAGTGATTGCTCAGGCTGATTGCACTTCCCTAGAGCCCTGCAGAAATCCTTGCCATGTCAGCTAGCATTGTGTGCCCCCCTCCAGGCCTTTGCTTCCTCGTCCCTCTTGAGAACGTGGCTGGAGATTAAGGCCCCATCTGGTACCAAAAGCTTCCAACCCCCAACACAAACTTTTCCCATGTGCCATGGCACCAGCTGAAAAGCAACAGCTTGGAGGTAACTCAAGCCCTTTCCTGAGGCAGGAGGTGGGCGAGTCAGTTCTACCCCAGAATTAAACACAAGGGGCGACAGGAATAGCTGGCCCGGAACCTGCCAAAGCCTGGCAATTCAGACCTGGCTCTGTAGCCCACTAGGTAAACCAAGGGTGGTAGCCAAGTCTGGCTTTGACCCCCTTCTCAGGAGAGGCAGGGAGCAGCTCGTGAGACTCAACTGGGTGCCCCCACCCTCTCGGCCACTCACAAGAGTTGTCACCAGAGAGAGCCCGATGCATTGGCTCAAGCCAGGCAGTAGGTGCAAGGCAGGTGGCAGGGTGAAGCTTTGGGAAGGAGGTGCAGCTGTGAAGTCAGGACTCTCCGGAGCCTGGAGGATCTCAGGGTAGAAGAGGAGAGATCTGAAAGCGTGGGCGTCTCACAGCTCTCTTTGTGCTCCGCCGCGGACATTCATACCCAGAGGCGGTGCATTTCAGGAACACAGGGCCCTGTGCGGCTGCTTTTCATCCAGCCTCCTGTTTTGCATGCGGTCACCACCCTCCTGAGGCTGTGTCTTGTTTTCACAGGGTGAAGAGACTAAGCCGCCTGGAAGCCTAGCTTAGAGTGATCTCTCCTTCCTGGAAGAGATCTGGAGAAGCAGGAGAAACAAGATGCAATTGGCTGCTCAGTAGTCGGTGTAGGATCTGTCTAACATTGCTACCAACAGCTACATCTGATTACTGGGTCGCTGATGGCATCGCCAGGCTGCAGGCAAGTGGAGCTCTTCGACAGACGACGCCAGTGGGGAAGGGAGCTGAGGGGAACGAGGTTGCCTGGCTGTGGTCATGTGCCAATTTGAGCCTGCCTGATCCCAAGCCCCTAAGGACTCTACAGGGCAACATGATTCAGGTTCTCGCTGGTGTTTTGGTGCCTACCTGCCACTTAGGTCAAAGGGAGTTAGGTGCCTAAAGGTTTTCAATGAGCTGGACCAGTGTGTCAATGCCACAGAAAGCACTGGAGTGCCTACCAGGAATTTTCCTGAGTAGCCTTCTAAGCTGAAGAGGATTTAATACATCTCCCGTAAGACATCTTGGGTTATTTGGGTTGATCTCATTTTGCAGTTACTCCTCTAGTCAGAGCCAGGACCTGAATGGAATCCTGTTAACGGTCCCTTTGGGTGGGATTTGGTTGTTTGATTCATGATAACCTGAAGGGTCCTGGGTAGATCCCCCTCTCTTTGGTATGTCCTAGCTCCCTGGGACTGGGGCTCACTCTGTTGTATACTGCACACATGTTGTTCCTGGATGTGCCACATCAGGGGCAGCTGATATCCTGATAGGGTTTTCTGCAACCACCATGACCAACCTGTTACTCTGCAGCTATACCTAACCCAGTGCATCATGTGCAAGGGTATGTCTACACTACCCCCCTAGTTCAAACTAGGGTGGTAATGTAGGCAACCGGAGTTGCAAATGAAGCCCGGGATTTGAATTTCCCGGGCTTCATTTGCATCTTGCCGGGCGCCGCCATTTTTAAATGTCCGCTAGTTCGGACTCCGTGCCGTGCGGCTACACGCGGCACAGACTAGGTAGTTCGGACTAGGCTTCCTATTCTGAACTACCGTTACTCCTCGTGAAACTAAGGAGTAACGGTAGTTCGGAATATGGCGGACATTTAAAAATGGTGGCGCCCGGCAACATGCAAATGAAGCCTGGGAAATTCAAATCCCGGGCTTCATTTGCCACTCCGGTTGCCTACATTAACCACCCTCGTTCGAACTAGGGGGCTAGTGTAGACATACCCCTAGGGAGTTGCATCTATGGCACACCAGCTATACCTAACCCAGTGCATCATGTGCTAGGGAACTGAGCAAAAATAATCATGGAGTTTTACCAGAGAAAAAAATCAAGTACTAAACTCTGCATATGTCCTCCTCCTTCCAGAGCACATACTGTTGCAATTCATTCTCTATCTTCTATTTCCGCATTTTTAGCTCCTCCCTATTTTTATCTAGATCAGTGTTTCTCAAAGCGATCTGCAGACCCACTCCGAGAAAGCTGCTACTGGGCCACTCTGGTTTGTTTAACTAGTGGCTCCCCCCCCATGAAGATTTCAGCGGCCAGGGGGAGCTGCAGGAAGAAGCATGACGCGGGCCGCTGCGTCTCACGGCTCACCTTGGCTGCAAGCAGCGAACCACAGCCAATAAGCCAGTGATTGGGCAACAAAATGGCAAACGAAATTTAATGTGGATAAGTGTAAAGTAATGCACATCGGGAAAAATAACCCCAACTATACGTACAGTATGATGGGGGCTAATTTGGCTACAACAAATCAGGAAAGAGATCTTGGAGTTATCGTGGACAGTTCTCTGAAAACTTCCACACAGAGTGCAGCGGCGGTCAAAAAGGCAAATAGGATGCTAGGAATTATTAGGAAAGGGATAGAAAATAAGACCCAGCATATCTTACTGCCCCTGAATAAAACTATGGTATGCCCACATCTTGAATACTGTGTACAGATATGGTATCCTCACTGCAAAAAAGATATTTTGGCCTTGGAAAGGGTTCAGAAAAGGGCAACTAAAATGATTAGGGGTTTGGAACGGGTCCCATATGAGGAGAGGTTAAAGCGACTGGGACTTTTCAGTTTAGAAAAGAGGAGACTGAGGGGGGATATGATAGAGGTCTATAAAATCATGAGTGGTGTGGAGAGGGCAGATAAAGAAAAGTTATTTATTAGTTCCCTAAATAGAAGAACTAGAGGACACCAAATGAAATTAATGGGTAGCAGGTTTAAAACTAATAAAAGAAAGTTCTTCTTCACACAGCGTGTAGTCAACCTGTGGAACTCCTTGCCACAGGAGGCTGTGCAGGCTAGGACTATAATAGAGTTTAAAGAGAAGCTGGATAATTTCATGGGGGTTCGGTCCATAAAAGGCTATTAGCCAGGGGATAAAATGGTGTCCTTGGCCTCTGTTTGTCAGAGCCTGGAGAAGGATGGCAGGAGACAAATCGCTTGATCATTGTCTTCGGTCCACCCTCGCTGGGGCACCTGGTGCTGGCCACTGTTGGCAGACAGGCTACTGGGCTAGATGGACCTTTGGTCTGACCCAGTACGGCCGTTCTTATGTTCTTATGAGTATACAGACTGGAGTGGCCTGGTAGCAGCTTTCTCAGAGTGGGTCTGCGGACCACTTGGAGAACCACTGACCTACATTGCTCCGGGACTAAACAGCTTCTCTGTTGTTTCTGAGTATATGAATGGGCCCCATTGTTGCTGGACCCATTGACGTCAAGGGATTATTTCAACCCAGTGTATCCCAGAGACCTGGAAGGCAGGTCTAGCTACACATAAGTTAAGTTCTTGGTATACTGAAAACGTTAATTTTCAGAATGCCCTGGTTTATGAAGAAAGGGCAGGAGGTCCAATGCAACCTGTTCTTTGCTAACTCAATTACCGATTCTGCCTGAGGACACTTGCCTCATGATCAGACTGAATCCAACCAGGTGTCAGCACCCTGGGGCTGTTGGAAAGTTTGGCTCTGGACTTGAACTTCATAGTTCTAACCCATTTGTTTTTCTTCAGTCCAGGACTGGTGTAGCCTTCCACTTCCTCTTAGTGCCTGCATTTGCAAGGGAAAATAGTAAATATGAAATGTTGTTCGTTACCATTTTAAGGCTCAAACCAATCAGATTGCAGCATTTAATTTTGGCAGAGGGAAACCCTCTGAATGACTCCTCATGCAAGACCAGACGGCAGTCCCACGCAGCTCATGAGTCTTTGTCAGACCTCACAGATTTCGTTTGGGGCACAAGAAGTCTCTAGCAGAGCCCTGCCTTCTCTCTAATCTCAGTGAGCTGGGCCAGAAATATCTTGGGTCAGATGACAGGACAGGAATCAAGAGAGCTGGTGAAAAGACAGGAAGCAAAGGGCAGGAATAAATGGTCAGTTTCAGATTGGAGAGGGGTAACTAGTGGTGTCCCCCCAGGGTCAGTCCTGGGACCAATCCTGTTCAACTTATTCATAAATGATCTGGAGAAAGGGGTAAGCAGGGAGGTGGGAAAGTTTCCGGATGATACCAAACTGTTTAGGATAGTCAAGACAGAAGCAGACTGTGAGGGACTTCAACAGTATAGGGGACAGTGATCATGAAATAATAGAGTTCATGATCTTAAGGGGAAAAAAATGGAAACTAGGACAAATAACAAAGGATGAATATAGGCAAGGAACACGGGAATGCAGGGGCAAGATTAGAAAGGCAAAGGCACAAAATGAGATCAAACTAGCTACAGGCATAAAGGGAAACAAGAAGACCTTTTATAAATACATTAAAAGCAAGAGGAAGACCAAGGACAGCGTAGGCCCACTGCTCAGTAAGGAGGGAGAAGCAGTAACAGGAAACTTGGAAATGGCAGAGATGCTCAATGACTTCTTTGTTTCGGTCTTCACCGAGAAGTCTGGAGGTGTGCCTAACGTAGTGAATACAAGCAGAGAGAGGGTAAGTTTAGAAGATAGGATACACAAAGAACAAGTTAAAAATCACGTAGGAAAGTTAGATGTCAGCAAGTCACCAGGTCCTGATGAAATGCATCCCAGGATACTCAAGGAGCTGATAGAGGAGGTACCTGAGCCTTTAGCTATGATCTTTGAAAAATCATGGCAGACGGGAGATTCCAGAAGACTGGAAAAGGGCAAATATTGTGCCCATCTATAAAAAGGGGAATAAGAACAACCCAGGAAACTACAGACCGGTCAGTTTAACGTCTGTCCCAGGGAAGATAATGGAGCAGGTAATTAAGGAAATCATATGCAAACACTTGGAAGGTAATAAAGTGATAGGGAATAGCCAGCATGGGTTTGTGAAGAACAAGTCATGCCAAACTAATCTGATAGCTTTCTTTGATAAGATAACGAGCCTTGTGGATAAGGGAGAAGCGGTGGATGTCATATACCTAGACTTTAGTAAGGCATTTGATACGGTCTCGCATGATATTCTTATTGATAAACTAGGCAAATATAACTTAGATAGGGCCACGATAAGGTGGGTGCATAATTGGCTGGATAACCGTAGTCAGAGAGTTGTTGTTAACGGTTCTAAATCCTGCTGGAAAGGGATAACAAGTGGAGTTCCTCAAGGGTCTGTTTTGGGACCCATACTGTTCAATATCTTCATCAATGATGTAGATATTGGGATAGAGAGTACGCTTATTAAGTTTGCAGATGATACCAAACTGGGTGGGGTTGCAACTTCTTTGGAGGATAGGGACATAATTCAAAATGACCTTAGCAAGTTAGAGAAATGGTCAGAGGTAAACAGGATGAGGTTTAATAAAGAGAAATGCAAAGTGCTCCACTTAGGAAGGAACAATCAGTTCCATACATACAAGATGGGAAGCGACTGTCTAGGAAGGAGCATGGCAGAAAGGGATCTAGGGGTCATAGTGGACCACAAGTTGAATATGAGTCAACAGTGTGATGCTGTTGCAAAAAAAGCAAATATGATTCTAGGTTGTATCAACAGGTGTGTTGTAAGCAAAACTCGTGAAGTCATTCTGCCGCTCTACTCTGCACTAGTTAGGCCTCAGCTGGAGTACTGTGTCCAGTTCTGGGCGCCACATTTCAAGAAAGATGTGGAGAAATTGGAAAGGGTACAGAGAAGAGCAACAAGAATGATTAAAGGTTTAGAGAACATGACCTATGAAGCCAGGCTTCATGAACTGGGCTTGTTTAGTTTGGAAAAAAGAAGATTAAGGGGGGACATGATAGCGGTTTTCAAATATCTAAAAGGGTGTCACAAGGAGGAAGGAGAAAATTTGTTCCTCTTGGTTTCTGAGGACAGGACAAGGAGTAATGGGCTTAAAGTGCAGCAGGGGAGGTTTAGATTGGACATTAGGAAAAAATTCCTAACTGTCAGGGTGGTCAAATATTGGAATAAATTGCCAAGGGAGGTGGTGGAATCTCCCTCTCTGGAGATATTTAAGAACAGGTTAGATAGACATCTGTCAGGGATGGTGTAGACAGAGCTTGATCCTGCCTTGAGGGCGGGGGGCTGGACTCGATGACCTCTTGAGGTCCCTTCCAGTCCTATTATTCTATGATTCTATGAAAAGCATGAGTGGCGTGGAGAGGGTGCATAAAGAAAAGTTCTTCGTTGCCCAATCAGGGAGCAGAAAAAATATTTGACTTATGTGACCAATCAGACACTGACCATAATGAACAGGAAAAAGGCAAATAGGATGCTAGGAATTATTAAGAAAGGGATAGAAAATAACACCCGGAATATCTTACTGCCCCTGTATAAAACTATGGTACGCCCACATCTTGAATACTGTGTACAGATGTGGTCTCCTCACCTCAAAAAAGATATTTTGGCCTTGGAAAGGGTTCAGAAAAGGGCAACTAAAATGAGTAGGGGTTTGGAACGGGTCCCATATGAGGAGAGGTTAAAGCAGACAGGCTACTGGGCTAGATGGACCTTTGGTCTGACCCAGTACGGCCGTTCTTATGTTCTTATAGAGCTGGTTTCTGTCCTAGGCTTTGTCCTTGGTTTACTAGCTGACCCCAGGTAACTGATGTCCTCTGTGTGGTAGATTCTTCATCTGTGAAACAGGAACAATGCGCCGTCTCTCAGTAAAACGTGCTCTGCAATGGAAGGGAGAAAAGCTTCCTTTTTTGCTGTAGATGGATTTACCTGGCACAGGTATCAAGGTAGAATCAAGTCCAGTGCAGATGTCTACGGTGGGAATGAGCCTATCAAAAGTGGTGTTTGCCCACAATTTTCTCCCCAAGATCAAGCCTATGGGTTGAGGAGGGTAGGTCACTCACTGTACTGTATTTGCAGGAAACATTTTATCATCTTTTGTCACTTGATCCGTCCAATACTTTCATCTAGTGAAAGCCATGTTCCCCTTCCCTGCACTCCTAGACGAGACCCATGTTTAGGAAACCTCCAAGTTTGTTACATGAAATCCATCTGCACAGAGAAGAAGAGCCGTGACGCCAGCAGCAGCTTACAAAAGCTGGCATTGCCACTGGCCTCAGCCATTTGGAAGAGCATAGTGCCGCCTCCTGGCGGGCCCCTGAGACTCACTCTTTAACAAAGCATGCTCAGGAGTAACAATTCCAATCTCTGCTCCCCAGAAACAGTCCCCCGCCTGGTCACACTTTAACTTTCCTCCTGCCACTGGGCAGGCAGCACAGGCCTCCTCTTGCTTTCCCGAGTTTCGGGTTCACAATGCTCTCTTCTGTGCAGATCATTTTGGTTTCCCTTAATCGGTATCACAGGAAACACGTGTTTGTGCACAACAGCCTAATGACCTGCCGCATCTCCCAACATGGCCCTGTGCTTGCCTCGGAGGGGCAACATGATGGCTCAATTGTTCACTAGCAGGATTTCTTGGGCCAAAGCTCTGGCGTACCTGCTTGTTGCGCTTGATTTCATTTGTTTTCAGAACCATACACAGGCTATTTTCTGTGTCTGTGGTTTTCTTGGAAGTTTAATCCATGAAATGTGCTGCTGGATTTTATTTCTCAGGGATGGTCTAGACTAGGTCGACTCAACTTTGGAAGCCCCGGGGGCCAGAGTGATAGTCACAGCACATGCCGAGGGCTGCAACTTAAGTGTGATTTCATATACATGCAAATATATATGCAAATATATGCAAATAGCTTCTTTCACACTGATGGGCATGAATACAAAGATTAAGGCAAAACTACACAACACACAGGCCCCATTTAAGTCAGACCTGCTGATATTAATAAAATGCAACATTTACCCGATTTCCACCCATATGGCAGCACGTTTCATGATCAGTGACAGTCCAGGAATGTAACTACTAAAACAGATATCCATAGAAGACCATGATATTGACTCGCCGTTGTGGAGCGTGTTCCCAGTGGAGGCCATGTTCAAAGGATCCCACCCACGGGCCTCGTGTTGAGCCCCACGTAAACCCAAACTGCACTGCGGGCTGCAAAGAAACAGGCTGCAGGGGGCCCATGGGCTGCCTGTTAAGTAGCGTTGGTCTAGACAGTGCTGGGTCCTGCCATGAGGGCAGGGGACTGGACTCGATGACCTCTCCAGGTTCCTTCCAGCTCTAGTGTTCTATGACTCTATGATTCTCGGAGCCCAGTAGAGCAAGGCTACAAGAACTCAAGTAAGGAATTTCTTGTTTGCTAGACAATCTAAAATTGGCTGCTAGGGCTCCCATCAATCCCTAGGAGACAAAAATTGCCATTGCTATCCTATGCTGGCTGCCTCAGTAAGACAGGGCAAAGAACAGGCTGGTGACAGACAAGGCAAGCTCATCCCTAGTGACAGCCCTTTCAAGTTAGGGTGGAGGCAAATTACCAAACAAAATGGTGCTACTTGACACACCACAACAGTTCTGTGGAGGAACAGGGGGGTCTTTGTTCTAGGTCCAGGGCTAAATCTAGGACCTTTCCTCAGACCTAAACCATTTTAAATTAACTAAGATCCACGTAGAAACACCAATCACCCGCTGATCTCAACAGCTGTAGCTCCAGTGACTTAGTGCCCAACAAGACTCTGATCATCAATCTAGCCCCCTCTTTGCTGCTGCCCTACCGTTCCATCCCCATTATCCAAGCCAGGCGGCTTTCCCCTCAAAGACAAAGAACAATTCTTTTTGGGGATCTTCATCTGGCTCAGAACCTTCTCCTTTTTCATGCCTACCTTTCCAGTGCTAATAAAAAACAATCATAGCTTCCATAGGGCCCACCAAAAATAAAATGCAGGATCTGTGAAAAGCATTTGAAACCTTTC